CACTTCCCTTGAATAAAATGGGATCATGGTGACAAATTCCTTATAATTTTTTTGTTTTAAACTGAAAACACTAAAAAATTTCCAAGTCTTTGAACATTTTAACCAACTTTGAGACGCCAACTTGGTCACTTCATATCTTCAAATCTATGAATTTTTGGAGATTTCCATTATTACAAAGTTGTATATGAAAGATTATCTTCAATTTGATCTTTTGGGCATGAAAAATGGTGACTTTAGGAAGAAGTTACAAGCCTTGAAAGTCATATACTATATGAACATCAAAATTTGGCACTTAGTGAAATTTCCAACTTCTTCAATCTTACCCTTTTTACAAGTTACCTCAAATTTTGTGTTTTCACTTGACTAAATTCACCTCTTTAATCACATATTCATGGAATTTGACTTGAGAAGTCCATATTCGACTGAAAAGTCAAAGTTTGACTTTGTAGTTGACTTTGTATCAAATGAATTTAATTTGTCCAACTTCAATGAAATATTTTGATTATGATATAATACTTAGCATTTCAAGATGTATTTGAAGTTCATAATATGATGATATGATAAATCCTTTGAGTGATATACAACTGAAGACCTCAAACCCTAATTCTTGAATTTTTATCTGAGGAGCCAAAACCCTAATCTTCTTCAATCACTTGATGAATTCAATGATGAAACCCAAATGTGATGAGGTTGAGATGAATATGATGATTAATTGATCACCATAAATAAATGAGGAGCTTGAGTGACTGAGTAACCCACATGTCCTTGATCAATCAGCTGCTGGATCCTCTTGCTCCAACACACCTATCTTGCATAACAAACAAACATAACAAGACAAAACCTTTGTATTTTTATGAGGTTAGTGATGCATAAATGAATGATATAACTTCTAAATGATTCAAAAATAAGTTGGGATCTTAGGTAAAAAATTAGGGTACAACAACCTCCATCTTTGTCGAACCACTTTCCTTTGGCTTTACTTTCTTTTACTGAATTTTCCTACAAAGCCACATCACCCTTCGACTTGCTTATAGCTCTCTCAGAAATTCTTTGTTCATGAGCTTCAAGTGTCCCTTGAAGTTCTTCCTTTTTTAGTTTCGACAAATCTTTCCCCTCTTCTATATCTACCACCACGTGGTCGAACTTAGGGGCCAAAGATCTCAAGATTTTTGCAACAACGACTTTGGTTGTTAATGTTTCTCCACATACCTTAATTTAATTAACTAGTTTCATAACCCTAGTGAAGAAATCAGATATGCTCTCGCTATCTTCCATTTGAAGTGATTCATACGTCCTTTTGTGAGTTTGTAACATCACATCTTTCACCTTTTATGCACCTCTAAAAGATTTCTTAAGAATCTCTCAAGCTTCTTTTGCAGATTCTACATCACTAACCTTTTCAAAATTTTCCAAACTAACACATTGGTGAATTATAGAGAGCTTTATAAATTTTCTTCTGCAACTCTTTGTGTTCAGTCTCTTCGTCATATGAAGGAAGCGATTCTAACCCATCTTTTACAAGATCTTAAAGACCTTGATAACATAATATAACCTTCATCTGTTTGCACTAATTCTCATAGTTATCAACTTTCAGAATTGGAAGGCTTGCTGAAAAATTCCCATTCACATAATTCACCGCCATTGTGATTTACTTCTTCTTTTTTTGATCGCTTAACTGGAGCTCTTGATATCAAATGTTAGAAATCTATCAAAACCTATAGAGAATTTCTATCAATTTTGATGAATAAGATTGTTATCACAACATAATAATAATGAAAAGAAAATTAAAGAAGATTAGAGATTAAGGTTTCTGCAGAGTTTCTCTCTGTCCATAAACCGTAGAAAATCTTTATTCTCTATCCATAAAGATTAAATGAAGTGAGTAGAGTCCATTGAGATTGATTGCAATGCAGTTGAAAAAGTGTTGAAGCTTGGAAAACGACCTTGTTAGTTCTTTCTTGCTCACGAGCTTTGAAGTTGAATGGTTTGTGAAAAATGTAACAAATGAAGAAGGAAAAGGAAATGGTCTGGAGCGAGATTTTAATTAAAATTCGTCCAAAGATGCATCTCTGTAAAACTCCCTCAATGTAAAATTCCTAGTTTTCAAATAAGGGTGTTTATAGAGATGCATCTCCAAATATTTTTGGACAAAATGAGAGTGATCACCTATTAAAGTGCGTTGAGGGTATGTAATTTGAATGCATTCAAAGATGCATCTCTAAAAACCATAATTTTTATAACATTTCAACATGGTAAACTAGTACTCCTAAGAGTGGAAAAAGTAATACCCTTTAGATTATGGTTTTGCTGAAACCCAATCTAAACCGACTAATGCACGCACACACCCATTGCGAGTTCGATCCAACAACTTGCTGCCCCTTTCATAAAATAAAAATTTACCTCGTACCCCTATAATTATACCTATACCCCAACACAAAAAAAAAATTGGACCAAAATTCCCTTATATAAATAGTTCATATTTTAAATTTTTTCATGTTTTCCTCACATTTCAGAAAAACTCTTGGAACACCCAAAAGTATATAAACTGGAACACATTTTCAAAGTCATTCGATTTACAAAAATATATACCAGAGCACTTTTTGAAAGTGTTCCGGTTGAGTATATTATAAAAAATGGACATCTTTTATAAAAGTGTTCTAGATATAATTTTTTTTTTACTAAATTAGTTTCGACAACAGTTTAAAACTGTGACCTTAAGTAATAGAGAACACTTATGAACCGTTGCTGAAACTCATTTAGCAATTTTTTAAACTGGAACACTTTAAAAAGTATTCCGGTGTCTTAATAATACACACGATCGGTACATTTTCAATAAGTATTCCGGTATGATGATTTAAAAAAAAGTTCCATTACTTTAGGCCACAATGTTTAACCGTTGCTGAAAATCTTTTAACAAATTTTTTTAACCGGAACACTTTCAAAAAGTGTTCCGGTATCTTAGTAATACATCCAACTGGAACACTTTCAATAAGTATTCCAGTATGATAATCTTTTTTTTTTAAAAAAATGTTTGGTTACTTTAGGCCACAACTTTTAGCCGTTGCTGAAACTCTTTAAACAAATTTTTAAACCGGAACTTTCAAAAAGTGTTCCGGCATCTTAATAAAATCACCCAACCGGGACACTTTCAATAAGTATTCCGGTATGATAATCTTAAAAAAAAATTTTTTGTTACTTTTAGCTGCGATTTTTAACTGATGCTGAAACTTATTTAATAATTTTTTAAACAGGAATACTTTCAAAAAAGTATTTTGGTTTGTTACAGTACATATCATAAGACTTTCTTTAAGTGTTCTGGAACGCAGGTGTAGGGGTGTAAATTTTTTTTTTTTTGGTGAACTAGTAAACGACCCGCGTGTTGGCACAGGTCGCGTAAAGTCGATATAAATATTAAATAAAAATTATATAGTTATGGTTAAGAAATGTATATAAAAATATATACGAATTAAGAGAAAAAAGCTTTAAATAATGATTATCACATAAATTTTAATTTAATTTATTAAGTTGTAGTAGTTGTCAAGATATACATAGAAATTATATTGAAAAATATGAGTATATGATCTAGTATACTTCACACACATATATAAAATTAATTATCTACACGTGTGTTTGCATGATTACACAATATCGTTATAAGTAACACATAAACATAATATAATGATGGTTAAGAATTGTATATAAAAGATATATAAATTAAATAGTGTTGACCCGTCAAAAATGTATATTTTAGTAGTTTAAGATATTTAAGATATTCTCTAATAGAATAATAATCAGAATAAAAAACAAGAAAAAACAAAATTTAAATAAAAATAAAGAATGAACCTAAAGAATGTTGTAAGGTCCATCGGGCTAGGAAACCCTAATTATTAAGGAAGGAAAAGAGTAATGAGAAAAAATATTAAATCAATTACTGAATGACCAATTAAAAGTAAGATATGTAGAATAAAGCACATGATACCTCCCTCCGCCTGCCACGCTTCCATATTTTTTCATCTCTCTGTTCACCGTCGATTCATCTCTGTTTCTCTTTTCATCTATCTCTCCTTGTTCTCTAACTCGCTCTCACTCTCTGTTCTTTCCATATCTCATGAAAACAAACAACAACAATCCTGCTTTCATTCTCACGGTTCCTTATCTTGTTTTCACAATTCTTATTTCGTTTGCATAACCTCAAAACTCGGATCCAAACTCTTTATCTCTCGTAAGTCTTTATTACGGTTCTGTTTCAATAATCATCTTTCTCTTTCGACTCTGTTCGGTTACAGAGTTTTTATGGATTTGATTTCAGTTTTCACAACCACACCTGGATTCGTAGCTTGAACAAGACAAAGTCTAAAAAATAAATTGAAAATTCTTTGCAGGTAAATTCTTCTCATATACTTCTATTCTTGTGTCTCAAGTCAAAAGTGTTCATAAAAGCTCTCTAATAGCACAAATCAATTTGTTTAATGCTTTGTTTTTAATCTTCTACTATCTATAATATAAGAAACATATATGCCATGAAAAAAACATTTATATTCATCACTGTCAGTCTGCCACGTGTCAAATTGTGCTACTATTAATTATTATTTTTTTAAATTTTTTTATTAATTATTATTACGCTTGCAAATTGTCTATATATTGTCCTTGAAATTAAGCTTCTCATTAAATTTTTCAAAGAGTATAAATAATTTTGGTAGTATATTATTTTATTATATTAATAATAGATAATAAAAAATAAAATAATAAATTGATTAAAAACATTAAAGGATAAAATTAACATTTTTGAACAATGATAAGAGTACAAGTTTAATTATAGGGGTAAGAAGTAAATTTTTCTTCATAAAACATCAAACCGGGGGGATCAAAACCGGGTCGGACTGATACGAGAGACTCAATTAGGTTGAAGTTGTCCACATTCCACACACTTTTTATATATGCACACATACTGTTTGCAAATTTGCAGCAACCAACCGTCTTGAAATTCAAGAGAGAGAGCAATGGCTTCATCCCCTTCACCCGAAATCTACATCCCAGAGCAATGGTCCGATGCTGCAAACTCCATTAAATCCGCTTCAACGCCTCCTATCACACTCATATGCGGTCCCAAAAACTGTGGCAAAACAACCTTCTCCCGCTACCTTCTCAATGTCCTACTGACCAGATACAAGAGAGTAGCTTATCTTGATACTGATGTTGGCCAACCTGAGTTTACTCCTCCTGCTTTTGTTTCTCTAACCATTGTTCATAAAATCACTCCAGGTAGGGTTGCTTGGTAAACAATACCTAATCTTAATTCATTTATTTTATATTCAGGACATGTTTGGACTGTCTTATTAGCTTATACACAAGTTTATTATAGCTTATGTCAAAGCAATTTAATTTATACAAGCATAGCCTAAATGGACTTGAAAATTTTCTATTTTCTTGATTGTTTTAGATTTGACGGTTCCATACCTGAAAACACCAGAGAGGTATGAACTTTGACGTACTATCTCATCTCAATAATTTGTGAACTGAATCTGTTTTTTTGGTTTTTATTTTATTTTTATTTTTTTATGTTGCTTTGAATTTGAAATATTTGAAAAGGTTGCTACTGGTTGAGTTAGGCATGTGTTATTTACTTGTTAGTTAGGTTAAGAATTAAGATTGTTGGAATGATTACTACTAGGGGTGGCAAATCAAACCCGGCTTGCTGGGCATTGCCCATTTTGCCCGCATTTTTTCGTAGGGTGGGACAAAGTTTTAGGCCCGCTCCCTCTAATATGTTTCGGTCCCGCTTTTTTGCAGACATGGGTATTTACATGATTTTTTTGCAATTTTAGAGGGCAATGTCCGCAGACCCGCCTTAATTTTTTTTGCCAGGCAGGGCAAAGTTTTAGGTTATGCCCGCCCGGCCTGTATTTTTACGGATTTTTGCGGGGTAGGCCTAAACGAGACGGACATGCCTGTTTGTCATCCCTAGTTACAACTGAGGTATACTCATGCTTTCTAGATTAGTCTCGGAAGGTGAAGAGTAGTGATATGAATTTATACATGGAAGAATTATTATGTAGGAGGTCTAGGGTTCAATTCCTGCTATTAACCACCGGTAAATTGTCTATAAAAAAGTTTGTTTTCTAGATTAAGTAGAACTGTCAAAGCATTAAATAGCTGAATGTTGAGAATATTATATACTGTGATTTTTTTCCATGTGATCTTCTGTACATTGTTATTATCTCTCTTGAAGATGCTGTAAGGCTCAAAGGTCGTAGTCCATTTCATTGTCATGAATTTTCTATAAACAGTGAATGGCATGATACTTATTAGCTGTTTATAGGATATGTTGGATTCTGTTAAGTGTCTATCATTTCATGTCTTATTTAAATGAGTATGTTTACGTATTATGGAGTTGCTTGTTTCATTTTCTGTCATTTATTTCGTAACAGATCCCTTTTCTTTGGTGATGTTTCTTCTAAGAGAGACCCGTTAACATACTTAAATTACGTATGCTCCATTTATGATTATTATCAAAAGGAGTGTCACACATTTTACAAGGGAGCAAAGTCTTCTAGGATTCAAATGCCTCTTGTAGTGAATACTCCTGGTTGGGTTAAAGGTAAGCTCTTGTCTTTTCAGCTATTAATTTGATTTGGTCCTTTTAATCGTACATGCACATATACTACTGCTTTCCTGGACTACTAGCAATATATCAATTATTTGGACAGTACTCATTCAGTGGATTTTGTCTTGCATTTCAGGTGTTGGTTATGACGTTTTAGTGGGCATGTTAAAATATATTTGTCCCACCCATATAGTTAAGATTGACATATCCACTGAAAATAAGAATTTACCTGTCGGAAAATTCTGGTCAGATGGGGAACATGATGGAACAAATATACTGATCGAGATAAATTCTGCTCGTCACGACTCATTAAATAGATCGTAAGCCCAAATCTCATAAGTTAGCGTTTTCAGCAGTTGCTTTGGGACTTTTTTTAAAATTTTTAAGACACGAATTATTAAAGAATAATAAAATATCCCTATTTGTTTCCTCAGGGTGCTTGTTCAGAAGGATGCTAGTCTTTTGCGTGATTTACGAATAATGGCTTATTTTAGGCGATGCTTTCCTAGTGATTCAAATATTTCAACAATCAAGGAACTTGCACATTCCTTGACCTCTCACTGTCCTTATCAAGTTCCCATTGCAAGCTTAAAGATTCAACATGTTCATCGTGAGGTTAGTTCTAATGTTATTTATTATCTCTTCTGATTAAGTCTCACAACAGTAGGTAAAATAAAGTTGATGCTTGTGACTTGATGGTCGCAGTTTATCTGTCTAAACAGCTCTTAACTCAAAAGTTCTGTGTCATAGTATAACTCTTCCTAAGATCCAGTGCGGAGTCTTGTTACCGAGTCCGAGCTACCCTTTATATGCTTGGTTTTGTATGCATTTCATCCACTTTGAATTTCAAATATTTTTATTATAAATTTAGATATTGAATATATTATGGTTTTCAATAGAATATCGAACATATAAATTTCAAAGTTATTTATTTATTTTTATATAAAGGTGATCAAGCATTTTATATGACCTATGAATATCTTTTGTAGGTCCCAAGCTCTGAAATATTCTACAGCCTGAATGCTAGTATTGTTGGCTTAGCAGTTGAATCTGAAGGACCTGAAAATTCACCCTGGTGCCTCGGTCTTGGTAGGTAACTTGGCTGACTTCCACAATGTCTCAGTTATATATGAAAAAAAAATCTTGTTCTAAAATAAATGTTGATTTCTCAAAGTTTTAAAGAATAGGAATTTTCTTTATTCATCCATGACAGAACACCAATGGATGAAAGAAAGGGTTACTTTAGGGATTCCCATGATGTATGGAATTCCCTAAGTGGCTAACTGATACTCCAAACAGATTTAACTCCATGAATAAAGTCTGCATCAGTTACAAAATAAGGATATAAGTTTTAGGTGCAGTACAGACAGTCTGTTACAGAAAAAAGCATTCAATTGCTCTCCCTCAAGCTGATGAATAGGTATTTACCATTCCAAGCTGTATACAATATTCTTGAACATGGTACTGCTTGGCCCTTTAGGAAGTACATCGGCAAGTTGACCCTGAGTATTGACATAGGGAGTACAAAACAGTCTACTTTTCAACTTTTCTTTGATAAAATGTCTATCAACTTCAATATGCTTTGTAATGTCATGCTGCACTAAATTATGAACAATATTGATTGTAGATTTATTATCACAACTTAGTCTCATTGACTGATCCCATGTGATCTTCAAATCCTTGAGGACGATTTTTAGCCAAAGTAGTCACATAGGCATTTTGTGCTGCAGTAATGGTCTATATATGTGAGAGCCTAAGGCAAAACAACAACAATTGAGCCTTATCCCACTAAGTGGGGTCTGCTACATGGATCAAATTTCGCCCTAGTGTTCTATCAAGATCATGTTTGTATCCAATTTGTTAATCTCGAGATTTTTTAATAGTTTCTCTTATAGCTTTTTAAGTCTTCTATCTCTAGTTGTTTGACTTCTCTTCATGTGATCCACTCCTTATAACATAATTTATAGGCCTTCTCTCTACATATCCAAACCACCTAAGTCTATTTTCCTTTATCTTTTCTATTATAGGTGCTACTACAACACTCTCTAATATCCTCATTGATAATCTTATCCCGTCTAGCCTTACCACGCAATAGCACAACATCCTAATCTCCACACTTTATTCTCCTGTTGATTATTAACGGCCCAACATCCTGTCCCATACAACATTGCAGGTCTCACTGTGGCCGATAAAATTTTCTCTTCTGCTTGAGAGATACTTTTATGTCACATAAAATCCCTGTGACCCTCCTCCATTTCAGCCACCCAGGTTGAATTTGATGGTTTATACCCCCTTCTATTTCTTCATTGTTTTGTACTACGAACCCTAGATATTTAATTTTAAACAACGTGATGATGTTTGAGACCCCCTTTCTGACTTGTGATTATGTCTAAATGGATTTAATTATATGAATACATTTTGTATCTGCTACAAAATAAACATTCTGACATTATTTTACTAACATGCATATATAGTCTGTATCTGTTACAAATAAAGATTCTAACAGTATTTACCAAATAAATAAATAAACATTCTGACATCATTTTACTAATCCCATGGCAATAGTGTTGTGAACTAGTTGAAGCCACCACCCCCTATAATGCAATTTTCATGCCTAAAAGGCTTAAATGCCTTGTAACTAACTGCCTTTATAAGGTATCAAACATCCACAAATACAAAAGATAAAGAATAAAGAAGTCATATGTTAGTCTTCTGATTTTTTAATGACAAGCACATAGATCATACAACCATCTGATTTTCTAGTTATGCATTTGGGTAATTCTTAGCATCATTAACATTAAGCCAACTTAATTTCTTGTGATTCAGGCATTGTGAGGGGTATTGACACAGTCAAAGGTATGCTCTATGTGATAACACCGGTGCCAGTTGATTCTCTGAAAAAAGTCAACCTCTTGCTACAGGGTTATATCCAAATTCCGACATGTTTATTGCAGGTAAGAAGTTGTTTTATGTACTTGTTCATTCTTCTCAACATTTACTTATAGAAACAAAAAGATGCACTGTTGAAAAAGTTTTAACAAACAGTTATATTCAGTTCTCTTACATCTTTGATAATTTTTCATTAACATGTCTGGTGTCAAATATTAGAAAAAGATGTTGACATGTGTGTGTGTGTGTGTTCGTGCAAGAAAAAGATTCTGTAGTTTCATGCCACCTTCATAATTCTGGAGAATTTGTTAGCGTCGTTAGAGAATATAAGACTTATTTAGATTTTCTATGAGTATCTTCTTGATCTGTTTCTTAATCTTTTTAGGTTTTAATGTAAAAAAAATACTTCTTTTCAGGTTCAGGGGTGTATTTCACCGTACATGTCAGCGAATGTATTGACTGCAAGCTAGTTATTTTTTCACGAGTTAGCAAAGAGAACACCATTACAGTAATAGTTTAAAACAGGGTAGTACCCAATTCTTTATTATTATAGATATTATTATTATTATTATTGTTTTTTTTTTTGGAGTGAAAAGAAAACTTTTATTCCAAAACAGATAATACAAAACCGATCCAGTAGGATCCAGGTATAATTCAAACTACATCAAAGCAACTAATCTATGCACAAGGTATCTATATTGGTGTGATTTTTCAATTTTCTATTTATGCTGCTCCTAGTTGCAATGTTGAACTTGATATGGTCAATTATGTTGGGATCCATAGGCTTTTGTGAGAAGACATATTGAGTAGATTGCTTCAGCAGCTGCCCCTTTCAAAAGTTGGCGCCTCCATCCCTTCTTGTTGGTCTCTTGTGTTAGCCATTTACTTTCAAACTTCCACTGTGTAGCTTTTCTGTTGTAGCCAAACCATTGCAAAATGCAAAATCTTTTCCCAAATCTGCTTGGTTTTTTGACGGGCAAAAAATACTGGTGCTCAAAGGTTTCTTTTTCCTGGCAGAAACTGCATATCCCATCCGTATTTGTGCCAAATCGCATCAGCCTATCCTTAGTGGGGAGCCTACCATGCATACTAGCCAGAGAAGGAATTTAGCTCTTGGTCTAACACAATTATTGTAAAGGATCTTCTTCCAACTAACATGCTATGTATCATCCCTTTTCAACTCTTTATACATGTTACTTGTTTTGAATTGGCTAGCTTCTTCCCAGTACCTGCTATGCTACACCAGCTCTCTGCAATTCAGAATTTTCTTGGTCATCCAAGAGCAATTAAGTGGTACTTGGCACTCCATGATACTTTTCCCTTTCATATAATATTCATCTATCCACTTGACCCATGATTTATCAGCTTCTGACTGCAAGTTCCAAAGTAATTTCAGCATAGTGGATTGATTCCACATTCTCAAATCAGTTATTCAGACCTCCCGTGGCTTTTGGTTCACGCACTTTTGCCCAAGCTACAAGTGCTTTTTTACTCCCACTCGCTATGCCACTCTATAGGAAATTTCTGCAGATAGATTCAATATGTTAGATTATCTTAGGCAGGGGAAAACCTGCATCTAATATGCAGCCACTGCAAAAATGACACTCCTGATCAACTGATACCTGTCAGCATAACTCAACTTGGTTGTCCAATGCTTGACTTTCATTCACTATTCTATCAATTAGAGGTTGGCATTGATTAATGCTAAGCTTCCTACTAGAGAGAGAGAGACTCAAAGTAACCAGGGCACAATTTGCAGCTGCATAAAGTCTATTGTTGGTGAAAAATCCATGACAACATCTATTACATTAGTCTTGATAACTTGCCAACTAGTTTTGATTTTTTTTTTCCCAGTATATACATCTATGCCAAGGGATTTGTTGTCTCCAATCCCTTTTAGAGCTTCCCATTATTTCTTTCTCACTGATTGGTTACATGAGACAGTTTCTCCGTTCCTCACTTAATTTTGGGCCATTTCTCATGGCAGTGATATCCACATTTGTCTCTAAAATCAGTTTTAAGATTGTGTTATCCAATTTGTTTTTTTTTTGTCCTCAATGTGGTATAAAAGTAAGGCTCAGTCAATTTACTTTAGCTTTTTGCATCAATATCTTCTCTTCAAGCTCTCAATATTCTTGATTACTTCAGCACTCCAAAATTGCACCTTCTTGATATGCTCTTGATTGAAAAGATCACTATCTAGGAGAATTTGGGCCTGTTCAAGTTGTATTTTGCATTCTTGGATTTTTCTGACCCCCTCAGTAGTTTTCCTATTTAGGGTCCTCATTCTATGTTGCATACCAATTAATTTCCTCCACACAATATACATTGGTTTGCCATGTTCAGCTTTGTTTCAGCTATCCTTAACAATGCTGAGGTATTCAGGGTTTTCAGTTGCACATTTCAGAAATTTGAAAAAAAATGTTTTTAATTCTATCTTTTCTCCCAGGTGTCTCCAAGTTAACTTTGAGGGGGGAATAATATGAGGTTTGAGAACTTCAATATCACAATTGGGAAATTTTCGGAACCACCCCCTGTTACAAATGACCCCATCAATCCTTGAGTAGACGAGCCCTGTGGCGTGTTTGTTGGATTATGTGTAATAGTTTCCTCTTGTTTCATGTTCATACAGGCCAACCATGTCCATCATTCCTTCAAGATCACAATATTCATTCATTTGTACTAGTGCTCCCCCAATTTTGTTTGCATTTTTTAGAACATTGTTGTAATCACCAATAATCATCCAAGGGCCATTTATATTTCCTGTAACATCTTTGATTTGATCCCATAAATTTCTTCCGTTAGCTAACTGATTGTGGGCATATATCACAGTGAGATAATGAGATAGAGAGCCATCAATATGATACATTTCACTGTGAATATGTTGGTCCGAGCTACTAACAATCTGAATCTTCCACCATATTCTCCCATTTTGGTGATGAGCATAGTTATCAACAAAACTCCAATCATTCTCAAAATAACTCATAATCTTAGCAACATTATTAAATTTAATCCTTGTTCAAGTAAAGCAAGAGAAGCTACATGCATATTTTTGAGATGGCCTCCAATCTCCACGTTTTAATTAAGGCCTCCAACATTTCAGCTTATCATCAGGGACTTTGTTATCATGTGGTACATAAGCATCTCCTAGTCTTAGCGCTTTAAGTCCATTGGTACAATCAATGCCAACTTCCTTCTACTTAGGTTCTTTTTCTTTTACTGTGAATTTTACCACAGTCCATATCTCATCTTCAGTTCCCTCTCTTGATTCTAATGCTTTCCAGGCTCTTCATGTTGGGTAGTCCCCTGATTTTCAGATTGTTGTGGTGTCCAAATTTATTTAGTTTGTTCTTGTTTCTTTTCAGGCTCTTTCTTCTTGCATTCATGTCCAAATCAATCACATTTGCTGTAGAAGGGTGGAAACCATTCGTATTCTACTTGTTGTATTTTTTCCCCTGTTGGATCTCTGATTGTTATATGTTTCTTCAGTTCAGCAACCACATCTACTTCAATCAAAATTCTGGCATATGAGACTCATAATTTTTTAGCAGTACATGTGTCTATCATCATCGATTTTCCAATAGCACTTGCACTATTCCCCATACTTTTCTCTCCCCAAAATATCAACGGTAGCTGAGGGAATGTGACCCAGATTGGTAGCACTCGTAGCACATCATCTTTCAGTTTGAAATTAGGCATCCATTCATGTAGCAACATCAATTTCTTGTAGATGGTATAAGGTCCTCTCATCAAAACTAAATCTATGTTTAATTTTGTTCAAAATCGGATAATGAAATATCCTTCATCATTGTCGTATAAGTCTGACATTGCCACAAAGTTCCAAATATTCATCATAACTTTCCTTACCGCATTCATTGAGAGTCCACTTTCTAGGGCATACACAATGATTGCGTTTCCCCAAAACTCCTTCTCAGATAACACACCTTACTCATCGATGACCACTTCAATTTCTCCGTTCACAATCAATGGTGCAGTGTATTCGATTTCTACTCCATTAACAGTCAACCAGTTACCGTTGATAACGTCAACCCATGGCTTTTCTTCCGTTTGTTTAACTTCTCCCTCGATCTTTTCTTCAATAATCAAATCCATAGTTGGCTGTGCTTTATAGGGGTGTACATGCCTTGGGTCAACCCACAAAATCCATCCAAAAAAATCCATAAAAGTGGGTTGGGTCAGGTAATTGGGCGGATATGAGTTTTAAAACTAAAAAATAAACTAAAAAAAATCAGGTTTCAAGTAAAATCAGACCCAAACTCAAAAGACCCACTGACCCTTAATCAAACATTTATTTTTACAATTTTAATGATTTTGATGAATAATAACTTAGTTGTTGCGATTTTATTCCCTTGAACATTTACTATTTTAGTGAACCATGATCTTAACTAATTTTGGATATTTCACTCTTTGATTATTTTGATGTTAATACAATTTTAGGTCATGCAAGTTTAGTTTGTTGCTAGTATTTTATGATAATTCTTACTAGTTGATGTTATCATTTATTATTTTATGATGCTAAGAAATAGTAAAAATAAGTTATCTAATTTTTTAAAAAGATAAAAATGTTGAATAATTTTTATGATAAAATATGATGGCTCATCATTTAGTTATTTAATATTAATAAAACAAAAAAATTATTTGGGCAACTCATTACGCAACCCGAAAATTAGTGGGTTTGTTCAAACCGACCGATTGATACAACGGGTGGTTATTTTACCTTATTCAAACCAGAGTGTCCTATATAAATTAGGTATTAGATTTGATAAAATTCAATTCAAACCAGCCCATGTACACCCCGTAGTGCTTTATGTTTTGGTGAATCGGATGTGTCTTTTATTAGTATTATTTGAACTTGTGTTGTCTTTATTCAATTTGGAGTTTGACACTGGTGAAATCTGTCCCGCCTTCGTCGGTGGAGTCACCACCACCTTTTTACACAGTCGACCACGACCCATTCAAAACTCTGTTAGGGTTTTGGATGTTTTGTTCAATAATATATTATTATTATTATTATTATTATTATTATTATTATTATTATTATTATAGATATTTTTGTTATTATTATAATGGATATTATTATTATTATAATTTTTTTTTTTTTGGAATCGAGAATTATATTAATAATAGATCCAAAACCAAAACAAACAAGGCGATTGAAAGATGCAGCCCTCCAAACTACAAAGAAACTAGACCAACAAGCTAAGGATCATGAGTTTGGCAGTGTAATGTCTAAGTTTGTGATTAGACCAAGCTCTATGAACAATTGTGTCAATGATGCTATCTCCTATGTTTATATTACTATTAGTGTCTCCAAAGCACCTTGCATTCCTAAAGCGCCAACTTTCATATACCGTTTCGGTGACGGTTACTTCGAGAACATGAGCCTTGCTCCCTTTTCCCTTGCAAGCAATTATGATCCACGATAGTTCTTCTAGCCAACCCTTTCGAG